ACAGAGCTTAAAGGCTTATCTGGAAGAGATTTGGGAATGCAGCTTCTGTCTAACGGGGTAAACCACAATGAGATTCATATGTGACTCACAATTATATGAGAGAATTACATCAGCAAAAACATTGTCAGCCTATACTAAAAAACAAAGGTGGCCTTAAATTAAAGGAGCCAGGTTGACCCCCTAAATTCTACCAGCAGGAATCAGGCTGTGAAAACTACTCTGCTGCAAACACGCATTCTCCTTCACCAAAAAAGACAGGATGACTCAGAGGGTGGAAACAAGAGGCCAGAGGGTAGAGCCAAACACTGTGAAGAATTATTTCCAAGCCTCAAAACCTCATCAGGGAACTTCCAACATGTGTCCCGCTGGATGTCAGAACTGCCATGGACCACTGACTGCTTGGTGCCTCCCGTTTCCCCTTTTTTTAAAGAGGAATATGTATCATGGTTATCTTGTGCCTGCCCCACCACTGTATGCTGGGTATAGGAAGCAGATAACCAACTCTTTAGTTTCACAGACCCAAAGATGGAAAGGAACTGTACTCAAGGAGCTGTGCTAAAGGAATCGTCCTTGAAGAGCCTCACCGAGGGGGCAGCAACTTGGAGGAGCCGACCATGCATGGGAGGGGAGGAAGGGCTGAGAAAGATGTGGGATTTTTTAATCGAAGAGAGTTGAGCCTCCAGTCAAGGGTTGGGAAAGTTTATTCTCCCTCTCAAGGGAGGAACTGGAACGCTACATGGTAAGTGGTGTGGATACAAGAAAGGGTGAAAACATACAGACAGACCTCAACTTTGAACTCTGAATTGTATTCCACATTTTCCACTGAACATCTCAAAAGTACCTCAGATTCAATCTTTCCAAGACCACACCTTGTCTGGTAGCTTACATCTCCATGAATCACAAGACGGTCTACCCAGCTGCACGGGGTAGACAGCTCGGGATGGAGCGTGATCCCCTCCCACCCCTCACCATTCATTACCCAACCAGCCACCCAGATCAGAAGCTCTTACCTCCTTAGCTGCTCTAGGATCAGCTCACTTCTCTCCACCCACCTCCAGCCCCACAGTCCAGGCCACCAGGATCAAAGCTGGCCTCGGGAAATGGCCGGATCGTTGGCCTGCCCTGGACCACAAGGCTGGCGCCCACGGCCACTCTGCTCCTTTCAAAATGCCAGTCCCCTTGTGACTCTCCCTGCTTAAGCCAGTAAGTGGCTTCTCGCTCACCTGGCCCCATGGTCTCCCCTGCAACCTGAGCAGCTGAGGGGAGGCAGGGCCGCAAAGCTGGAAGGAGGAAGGAACAAGGGTGCTGGTGCCCTTCCCCCAGGGGCACCACAGGGCTCTGCACCAGGTCCCCTCCTCCTCCAGGCGCAGGCCTGCCCATCTCCCTAACGTCAGATCTCTGCTAAGTGCAGCTTCCTGCAAGGAGCCCCTTCCCCTGCCCGCACCCCGCTCTAATGCACGCCTCATTAAACAGGGCTCCTTCAGCATGCCTTACTTGGTCCACTGAACGCTTGAAATAAGCCAAAAGCAGTGGACGACGTTCTCGGTCCCCCTCTGCACCTGCACATGAAGAGACACGAGCCCAGAGAACTGAAGAGAAATGGCAAGGTCACCGAGCTGGGGACAGGTCCCTCTCACCAAAGGAACAGGAGGCTCAGTCCACGTCTGACTAATGGAGGGAAAAGAACTACCTAAAAACAAGCGGAGAAGTAAAACGCTGTGACAGGGGTTCCTCACGCTTAAGTCCCCTGCCCTGCGTTTTCTTCCTCCCTTCCCCTCGCTTTTCTCCTCCTTCCCTGCGCTCAGTAGCTGACCTGTCTCCCTTTAACTACTTCCCAAGGAAGCAGCCTCAACAGTCTTTCCCACAGATTTGAAAATTCCCTGCAATAAAAATGTCAAGGGTGAAATAAGACAATGCATTTTCTCAGTCCTACATCAGGCCAAATTACATATTAAAGGACCAACATCTGAACAATAAAACTCAGGATAAAAGCCACCTTTAACTTGTCAGAACCTTGGCTGCGGTCTGGATTACAACTGGAGCAGGCGCTGGGGCTGAAGTTGTCCTTCCCCAGGGTATTTCACACATGGGCCCAAATCTGCTTGGCCCCTCCCAGACCTCCTCCCCAGTCCACACCTCACCAGGCTGCCAGAGCTGATTCAAATCCTAGAGAGACTGATGAATTTTGGGGGGACTGATTGCTGAGAAATTTTTTTTTTCTTGCCTAAAGTAAGAGCCTGGAGGGGGAGGGCAGAGCTCAGTGGTAGAACCCGCGCTTAGCATGCACGGGGTCCTGGGTTCAATCCCCAGTAACCCCATTTAAAAAAAAAAAGCCTGCTGGAAGCCAGGTTGGCAGCGCTGGCCCAGCCCCCGAACGCCCCGCCCAAGGGACAGGGAAGTGACTGAGCTGTCATCACTGCTGACTCCTTCATTAGGGAAGCACTCACTCCTGCTCCCCACTGACGGCTCTTTGTTTCTGAACTTTCTTACTCAGGTGAAAGGACTCAAAGTCTCCTTTCACCAAAGTACCTGAAAACCCTCCGTCCACCTACACCAGTTACACCTTCTTCCCCCATGCATGACCAGCACTGTCTTTCCTGGGCTTCTATGACCTTACAGTTCCCAGAGAGGCTCTGAGTGCTCAGCACCGGCTCCGGTGTGTCAAGATGCAGGGAGGCTGCGTCCTCTCTGGGCCTGCCTGGGACAAAGTCAGGGCCCCGCCCAGAGGACAAGGTGCGAGCCCTCCCCAGGGACCCCTGCCCCAAGGCGCCCCGTGACAGGCCAGTGTCACAGCTGGATGACATGTAAAGTTGATTTCGATTTTAAGGGCCTGTGAGGGGAAATGCTAATTATTTTGACACTGGCAATGCCCCTGTGATGGGCTGATCCCCACAATTTCATTCTGTTCCGTTACTCATGAAAACTGGATTCAAACTCCCACACAAACTGCCCCACAAACTCCCCATGTGCTGACCACCAGTCAATTCAGTTTCCCCACTTCTGTGAGCCCTCCCTCCACAATTTTGATTTTTGTCATCACAGACAAGAATGGGGAATGCCATTCACCAGAGACGGTCCCTCCTCCTGGCTCACAAATGAGGAAAACCAGCCCCAGACCACAACCCCCCCAAGACTCGAGTCCCAGCTGGCACCAGACCCAGAGCCCCCAGCACCTCCCTGCAGGCCCTCCGTCCACAGGAAGACTCACCTCAGGGCAGGCGTGTTTGTCTCCTCCGTGAAGACCACACAGGACCCAAGCACTGTGACTGGCCCCCAGTGGCCTCTGCTTGTCCGTCCTGGCTCTGGAAAGCTACAGCTTTTGCTTTTCATTTCATTTTCTATGAAGGTTAAGATAATGCTTGAAGTCTAATGTCTTTCTAAGTGTCAGTGACAAGGGAACACTGGCTTTAGGGCCTCCCCTGGAAGGGCTGCTGAGCTACGGAATGGACTTAGTCTAGTGGAAATCAGCGTCCACCCACGTCCGCCAGGGTGGGGTCAGAGGGGGGCTAGTGGAGAGTCAGAACTCCCTGCACTGCCCGGTGTTAATGAGGGAAGTGCCCTGTGCCCCAGCCCCCTGCGGCTGAGGGGAAGACATCCTCTCCATCCCCCAGGGTCTCATCGGGGGCCAAGAGGGGAACCTGGACTTTCACGGCACCTGACAGTAATAAGGCCACACTTCCTTCTCCCAGTGATGACGTGTCAGAGGTTGCCTGCTAAAACAGATTTAGGTAAAATTCTGAACACCTGAAACGTGTGAGATACAACTGAAAATCACTAGTCATGCCACAAAGCAGGAAAATCCCAACTCGAATGAGAAAAGACGGCCAACAGATGCCAACACCAACGATACATGTGCTGGAATTCCCAGACAAGGATTTTACAGCAGCCATCACAACGCTTAAACAAGGGATTGTAAATGCACTTGAAATAAATGAAAAGAAGCAGAAGATACAAACCAAAGAAACAGAAGATACAAAGAAGAAACTTATGGAAACTTTAGCACTGAAAAATATAACCAAAGGTTTTTGTTTCTCGTTTTTTTAACTCACTGGATGGCTCCACAGCAGAACAGAGAAGGCAGAGGGTGTAACTGGTGAACTGGAAGAGAGAACAATGGAAATCACCAATCTTAACAACAGGAAAAAAAATCACAGAGCCTCAGGGCCTGTGGGACTACAGCAAAAGGCACAGCACTCATGTCGCCATGGCCCTGGACAGAGGGCAGGGCTGGCAGCGCCTCAGAGACACCATGGCTGAAACTTGCCCCAAACTGGGCCAAGGAGCACACAGGTACAGATTCAAGAAGCCAAGCAAACACCAAAAAGGATTAACCCAAAGAAATCTGCACCAAGACACATCATAATGAAACTCCTGAAAACCAAGGACAAAGGAAAAATCTTGAAGGTGGCAAGAGAGGAACACTTTACAGAGACGAGAAAAGGCAGCTCTGAGCGACGTGACTTCTCATCAGAGACCACAGAGGCCAGAGGAAGTGGGACAGCATGTGTCCGGAGCTGAACAAAACCATCAGTGAAAACACCCTTCAAAAATGGAGAAACCAAGACACTATTAGATGAAGGAAAACTAAGCGAATCTGTCACCAGCAGACCTGCCCTAAAGAAATGACGAAAAGAAGATCTTGAAATGGAAAGGAAATCATAAAAGAAGGATCTTGGAACATCAGGAGGGAAAACCCCACAACAGAAAAGGTGAAAATATGGGCAGACACAATATACCGGGCTTTAGGAAAACGTTTTGTGAAACATGCATGTTATTTCAGACCTTTTCAACAGTTACCATCATCATATGAGTGGATGGTGAGCACCTGGAAATAGCTGATACTTTCTGATTTTTTTGGAGCTAATTTAGAAGAGTTTCATTCAGGTTTCATAAATAAAAAAACAATGTCTCTCTGATTACTTGGCCTGCTTCTCAAAATATTCACCATCCCTGTTTGTAAGTCAGACTTCCCACTGACAGAATTACAGATTCATAAAAACTAATTTTATCCCCAAGTTTATTCCAAATAGAATTAACAAATCCAGATTTAACAACTAAAACTACAGGGTGCCCAGGTAAATTTAAACATTACATGGGACATTGTTATACTAAAAATCATTCATTGTTTATCTTAAGTTCACGTTCCACGGGGCGTCCTGTGCTGTCGGGCAGCCCCGTGGGGCTTGACTGTCAGCGTCTACAGCACAGAGGCCCCACCCCCCACCCCACCCCCCCACCCCCGAGCAAACCACACCTACCCTGGAACCTCGTCCCTCTCGGCAAGAACCCGCCAAGGGGCCCAGCAGCTCACAGGGTCACATCTTGAACAGTAAATAACATCCTTGCTCAGAAATGCCTCATTTCCATAGATTAGGAAGTCTGGGGGCTGTTTTAAGCTTTCATTCATAAGGGTAAAAATTACCTGCTCCTAGGGGCCCGACAGAAGAAATGGAAAGCTTTAGAGCCACTGCGAGGCAGAGAGCAGCTGGGGGTTGGGAGCACACTCACCCCCACCCTGGTCTACCCGCATTCAGAGCAGGCATTCCAACCCCCGGGACATGCAGACCACAAACCTGTACTCAGACCCTTACAACAAACGTTTGGGGGCGGGAGCATAGGCCTTGCGGAGCACGGGGTGGGGGTACCACTTGGCTGGGAGGGAAGGGAAGGCTTCCCAGCAGAAGTGGCATCTGAAAGGGGATGGGGCAGCCCTGAGGGTTTCCAGCACACGGGGGAGGGGAACAGGCCGCGGGGCCGCCAAGAGCTGGAGATGACGAAGTGTACACGGCAGGTGGGAGGTGGAGCCACATTCAGGGAAGCTCCTTCCAGCCAGCCGAGGGGGAGGACGAAGCAGAGCAGACTGGAGGCAGGACATGAGCCGGGCCACCGTCCCGCTGGTGCAGGAGCGCCCGGAGGTGGACATGGGGAGGGCAGAGGCGAGGGAGGGCAGGAGGTGATGCGAGGGACGGAGGGGCTCCCACCCACGTCCTGTGTAGCAGGTTCTTTCCTTCCTCCACGACGCTCTCTGAGCCCCTGTCGTGTGCCGGGCACGGGGCTGCGGTCTTCCCTGTATTTCCACAGCCATGGGTAGCGGGGGGGGAGCCAGCCGAAGTCAGCAGTGTCACCCCCAGGCTTTCCAAGGTCTGTCCTCCAGCTGCCCACCCAGGCCGTCACTCGCACGCCAGGTGCGGTTCTATCCCACACGCCTGGAGCTCCATTTGGGCTTTACACACCGGGAGGCTTGAGCTCCCAGGCCCCGGGCCCCTCAGTGCTCAGCCGCCTCACCCCACCTCTCACCACAGCTTGGCTCACGCTCCTTCTGAAACAGCAGGGATGTTCCAAGGAACACTTGGAATATTCTAATTTTCTGGTTTTGGCCCACAGAATGCAATTGGTATTATAGCTGACCATGTATTCAACAACTTTATAAATTTATTCATCTAAAAACGTATCTGTAAGTACTTCTAGATTTTCTACATTTCTATTGTCAAATAACAAGTTGTTCCCACCTTTCTAATCCTTATATCATATGATTTTTTTTATTGTTAATTACCTTAGTGGACCCAACTCAAAAGCAAAGCATTAAATTTTTCACCAATAGTTATAATGCCTGCTGTGGGTTTTTTAGAAATAACCTGTATCAGAATCAAGACATTCCCTTCCACTCCTCGTTGGCAGGGATTTTTAATTAAACAGTTTTTTTCTGCATCTGTTAATATGATCATATAATTTTATCCCTTAATCCCTAAATACGATTAACTATAAAATTTATCTTATAACGCAAATAGTTAGAGAAGACTAAAACACACACACGAATCCCAAAGTGTGCACCAGCTCAAAACGTTTATCGCCTGTTTAGCAGCCCAGGATGGAAGTCTGACTGGCAAGCAGCTCTTCTCCCGACACGGCCGTCTACCCGGTAACTCCGCGTTCCCTAAGGGGCAGGTCGCCTGCACAGAAAGCAGGGGGGAAAGCGAACAGGAGGAGGCCTGCGAGCTCTCTCCTTAGAAGTTTTCACCTGGAGGCTGCATTTCATTGACGAGAGGGTCACCTGGTCACAGCTTGGTGACAGCCCCACATCAAGAAAGAAAACAACAAGTTCCGGTGGAGAGCCTGCCGGTACAAGCCCAAGCTGGTCTTACCGCTTTAGAGTTTGTAAGTCGCTAAATCCAGTTTTCTGACTTTTCTTTAGGATTCCACATCCATGCATATGTGAGGCAGGCCAGAACTATTTCTTTTCTCCCACCATCTTTGTTGGGTTTTGTCATCAAGGTTGTTTTAACTTCATAAAAGGAGTTTAGCTGTGCCAGTTGTGAACGTGTCGCCTCTCAGCCCTGACTCCGCTTTTCACTGTCCTGCTTCGGAAGCCAGACGGGTTCTTCCCGGCCAGCCAGCGTGGCGCCAGGCTCTGCTGGTGGAGGAGCTGGAGGGATGCTGGAGGAGGAAGCCTCTCTCCCTGGTCCTGGGCGCCTGCCTTCCTCTGGTTCCCACAGTGTTTGACTGGAGTGCTGCGCAGCCAGTGGAGCCCAGTGAGCTTCAGGGCACCTGAGATGACTTCCTGGTGGAGCGGTCCATGGCACCCCTGTGAGCAGCTTCCCGCAAGTTCTGCAGGTACCCCAGCCAGCCTCCAGGGAGTTCAAGGGCACCCCCATCGAGGGGTTCTCAGCAGCTCACCAGCAAGCCCAGCCACACCCGAGTGGGCTTCTAAGCAAAGTTGATAGCACCTCCCTTCACCCCGGGCAGCTCCCAGGTGAATTATGTAGCCATCCCACTTCCATAGGCATCCCACTGCCAGGGGTGCGGGTTCCGGGGATGGGGGTCCCACCTTCCGCCAGCTCAGCGTTCTTGCCCATCAGTCTTGGAAGAACAAACATGGACCATCTCTGGTCCAGATCAACCTGGAAAACTTCTCCGCTGTCTGTCTGTCGAGCTAAAACAGCAGCATCTCCAACCAGGTCTCAGTCCAGCCTTAAGGAGGCCTCCTCCCTTCCTTGTTTATTCTTCCTTGGGTACTCCCCCTCAGGGTATCCCTTAGAATCCTCTTCTTTCTCCCTGGAAGTAGTTAATAATTCTTTACATCAAATCTTCCTTGCTCAAATTATTGTGTGGTTACTGCCTGTTGGACTGGACCCTGGCTGATACAGAACTGGTACCAGGAGTGCCCACAGGAGACAGACTTGCAAAGATGGCATTTGGGAACTGATCTGTTGGAATCTCAAGCTTAACAAGTGCTGTGCTCACGGCCAGCGGGAAATGCTCAGTACCCGTGGCCTGCGGGCACACCGGCATCAGAACTAATCACACAGTCGCCTTCGGTTGCTTGCGATGAAGTACTGTCTGAAGCCAGTGACCTCGAGCCTCAGTGGCTACTGAACTTTTTTTTTTTATGGTGGTAAGGATGACTACAGGGACACAGTATGGGATAGTCTCTTGAGTGCACTAGAGTGCATACAGAGAGAAAATGACAAGTCGTGGTGACTCAACTCAGGACAAGTGAGAACCAGAATACTTCAATGACAGCCCTAAATGAAGCTCTTTTCTTGCAGTCACAGGAGTCATGTTCCTAAAAATCATACAGAAAAGTTAATTGTATTGCTGGTGAACAACAACGTGGAGTTCACAGTCTCACCAGTATCTCAGGGGAAAGTCAGGCATTGGCTGGGAAAGGTGGGAGCATGAAACCTGGAGCGAGGACATTTGGTTAGACCCAGGGAAACCGATCATCTTGAAGTGCGAAGTCATTCTAAGCCTCTCTCACCAGTAGAAGCATCTTGGCCACAGTGTCTTGGAAAATTATTCTCTCTTTGCTTGAAAATCCTGTGACAACTTCGCCAAGGGAAGATGCCTTGAAAGGGGATACCCTCTCTCAAGACCCACCACAACCACATGACTAAGGTCGAATCACAGCATGCTCCAGAAGGACAGGAGTGGCACTACACTTCAGGAAGAAGAGCTTACACACCTAGAAAATGAGCAAGACTTCTCTAATATATATCAGGAGTATACATAAATATGGGAAACATGTGTGAAGCGGATTCTAAGGGTGTTAGACCAAGGAGGGTGGAACATACCACTAGATCAGACCAAATTTATTAATGATGGAGAAGTTTCCAGACTCCAGATTTACTGTACTCACTGAGCAGCTAGAGGTGTTTCTAAGCAACACATCTAATTGTCTGAAACTTATACTCGAAAACAGTCTACACTTAACAAGGCTGAGACACACAGAGGAGGGCATCCCAAGGCACAGGGAGGTTAAGAAGGTCGGAGTGGATTTACCATGTGTGCCCTGCACACCTACCTCCCGTCCACACACTTCACTAAGTCCTGGAAGACATTCCTTTCACTTGGGAACTGAGAACACATTAGTCAGAGGAGCATTCACGTCCAGGAACAGCCTCAGGACTGCTGTCCTTGGCAGGCAGGTATGATGGTGGAGGTGCCACCCCTGGGATGGGCTCTCTGATTTCAAGGGAGACGATGGGGCTCCAGAGGAGCACAGCAGGCAGTCCCCTTGGAAGTTTGACTTGGAAGCTGGACAAATCCATCAAGAGTCACACGAGGCCAACAACGTCCCTTAAAAAAAGGTAAACCATCCCTGAAAGCCACAGAAAGACCCCAGCGATCCTCCTAGCCACAGCTGGGTCATACCTACACCCTAACTCATCAGGAAGCGACGAAGGCCCATCAATGGGCCCCGGCTGCCCGTGGTCCCACCAGGGACTGGAATAAGCAGTTTACGAGTCCCTCCCAGCTGGCAGAATGGTGAGATGACTTCTACCACTGGCACTGGCAAAGAGAGAATTCTGGCAAAGGCCCTGGGCAGGTCAGAAAGTGCCATGTGGCTCCCGAAAGCTCCTCACACACCTAGTACTCATTAGGAATTATCCCGTGTGGGTGCCTGAGCGTATGAAGTCCAACTTCAGCCGACAGCATCCTCAACAGAGGCTACTCTCAGAGCTGGTCTCTGGCACACCATCTGTTATGCTGAACAGGGAGAATGCACGTTCCCCGCACACTTAAAGCCCTTCTCTGATGCCTTACGAGGTGAGGCCTCTGACTGGAGGTTTTCTCACTTTGGCTGCACTCTTAGGCCTTTCTCTACAGTGAACCTTCTGGTGCCGAATGAGGAAGCCTCTTTGGTGGAAAGTCTTCCTCTTGAGTGTGAATCTGCTAGGGCTGAACGAGGATGGCCCTGAAGCTTAAGGCTTTCTCACACTGGTCATACTTAACGGGCTTTTGTGAAACACCAGTTGGAGGTTTTGGCAGGTTTCCCGTGTTTGCTGTACTCATATTTCTGGGTTGCAACCCTTCCAGTGCCAAATCAGGGCAGAGCTTTGTCAAAATGTTTTCATTCCATGCATTCGAAGTATAAACTTTCTGACGCTGAATGAGCTCACAGGTATGGCCAAAGGTTGTCTGATATTTACTGAACTCACTAGGCCTTTGTGTTGTGAAGCTTCTGATGCCAAACAAGTGTGTGTCCTTTGCTGAATGCATCCTTCCCACGGTGGCTACACCCGTAAGGCTCTTCTCCACGGTTGATTCTCTGGTGCTGAATGAGGTCGGCGTTGTGGCAAAGATTTCCCACGTTAACTGCACTCAGGCCTTCCTCCAGTGTGGCTGCCCGCGGCTCCTTCACATCTGCTGTACTTCCCCGTGTGAAAGGTCTCTCCGCCTGCGGCCCACTGTGAATGGCCCGGTGCGGGAGGAGGCCCGGGCCGGCGAGGAACCGGTCCTCCCTGCACACTAAGGGCGTGGCTGTACTTGTCAATAAATCAACCCCAACTCCTACGTGGACTCCATGGCGCTTCACAAGGCCCTGCCCCGCCCACTTCTGCAGGGTTTCTCTCGGCTGTGCTGCTTCGGAGCTGGGGAAAGCTGAAGCCGAAGCCTCTCCCACACCCCTCTCTACTGTAGTTTCTGCCCGCAGTGGCTCCCTGTTCTCAGCCAGGAGCAAACGTCTTCGAGCCTGAGCCACACATGCCACGGAACGGGCCTCTGGCTGCACCGGCGCCCTACCCTGAGACTCTTACGAAAACGCCCTGCTCGGAAGGTGCCTCGCCCTCCGCTGCATGTCCACCACCCCGGGGCCGCAAGTGCGAAGTGCGCCCGCGTCAGTCCCCACACAGCAGGGCCCGAGCCTTATCCACGAGCCACTCCTCCAGGATAAGCACGTGGCCACCTCCTCAGAGAGCGCGCGGCCCTGCCCCCGGGAGCCCCAGCCCGGAACCCACCCAGCTCTCCGCGCCGGCGGATCAGGACTGACCCCAGAACCGCCGAGATCCCAGGAAGACAGCTCCGGAAGTCCCGCCCCCACGTCGTCCACACGCACAAGAACACCCAACTCGTGGGTCTTCATTGGCCCGACACCGTTGTGACGTAAACAGAATGGCCGCAGAGAAATTGCGTTTTCCACCCGGGGCGGGACTTCAGTTCCTTAAAGGAGACGCGCCAAGATTCCGGGCAAGTACTCAACTTCCACTTCCTGAAGGGCATTGGCTGCCCTGGTGGCTGTCTGAGCACCTCCTTTCATATTAGGTAAGTTCTATTTTCCTAGGAATGTATCCATTCCCTCTAAACTTACACATTTACTACCTTGAAGTTGTTTCTAATATAGCCTTTTTTTTTACATGACCTGTGAAATTGCCCTTTTTATGTGATTCCTACGCCCTTTCCGTCTTGTCTCTCTGGAGGTGTTATCAATTTTCTTTTGAAAGAAGCAACTTCTGGCCTTGTTGCTGCCCTCCGTTGTTTGTAATGAATTCTGTTCGTTATTTCGCTTTCACTCATACACACCTCCCCACCCTCCATCCCCAAAAGCGCTTTATGGTGGTTCACTGATGTAAATAGTAGTCGTAGCTGAGACATCTAGTGTTACTGTGATAACTTTTTCTTTCTTGCTCAACCTTTCGTTTTCCTTGGAGTTGTGTCCCTTGGTTCCTAAGCACTTGCCAATAAATCAACCCCAACTCCTAAGTATGCTCAGAGACAACAGGTATTCTAATAATTGAGACATCTTCTCTGGAGCCTCAGCCTCCTCCCATCTGATCTCGATCCGGCGTCTTCTGGCCTGACGCACAGCTGCCACCTTGGAAGCTTTCACTACGTTCCTGGGAGTCACCTTGCCTTTGTGTTGGAGCCACATTTCCTGAACACCAGGTTTTCTCCTTTGTTTACTCCCTCACTCTGGAAGAGTACAATGCTCTAGTAGTTTCCTAAGAAAGGGTGTGTGGAACGTAAATTCCAAGAGAAACTACAAATCTTTAGCTTGACTTTTATATGTATTTCCTTCAGAATTCTGAAAGGTCCAAATTCCTCTACTGTCCCATGTGGCATCTGAGAATTCCAAAGCCATTTTCATTGCTGATACAGTGTATGCATCCTGTTCATTCTCTCCAGAAGTTATAGAACCTCTCCTCCCCAGGGTTCTGAAATTACACAGTACGTGCCATGGGAAGGGTCTTTCTTCTTCCAGTGTGTTAGTACAAGGCTGATCCTTGTAATCTGGAGACTTACAGCCGTCCTTCTCAGAGTTCTCCTTAATTGTTTATTTGAATCCACTGCTCCGTGTGTGTGACCTTCTCTGGCACATCTGGCACTGGTACCCTTACTCCTTTCTGGCTGGTGAGACTCCCCAAGAAGGAGGACGCAGCCTGTTTCCTGAGCTGAGGATTTTACACACTGAAGGCTGATGTCACGCCTCCTTTCAGGCTCCCACTGGGCTAGGGCAGGGCCAACGGCCCAAGCGGGCGGAGGGGAGTTGTAACTGCTTCCTAAACTGGCTCTCAGCCAGTCCTCCTGCTTTCAGCCTTCTTCACATCCACTTCTGGAGGTACCTGGAACTGCCAGTTCCAGAGCCTCTGGGAGCTTTGTGATAAAACCGGATTCTCAGATGTGTTCATTTCTTTCTTACAGTGTCTCAGGTGCTTTCGAAGTCAGTAACCATCTACCTATCCTCTGGCGTTTCCAAAATTTTGTTGCTATTTACAGTCACCTTAGTGGATTTATACTTTTAAAAAAATTAAAATTCCCCTTAGTTTTAATGGGGTCTTGGGAGGAGCTGTGGTAAACGACCACATGTAGCTGTAAGAAGTCTGGGAAATGAAGACCTTATTCAGGGAATTCCAGTCTCCAGCTAAAGCTGTGGGTTCTATTATCACACAGAGAGACGACGGAGAGTGAAGGAAAACTAGCAATCTCTGCCACCCATATGCAGCTGGCTCTGAAGTACGAGAAGGTGAGGCCACTTTTCAGTGGAGCAGGAGAGGTGTACATATGGGAGTAGGGAGTTGGGAATCGGTGTGAAGAATGAAGAAAATATCTGAAATAGCAAATACAGAACATGCTAGGGAGTTGCTAGTTGCTGAGAGATAAATGTCTTTATTTAGTTCATTCATTCCTCAGTTCATCCCAAAGCTTCACACCTCACCCTCCGCCTGTCAAAATAAGTCACATATAGCAGGGGCCCAGAAACAGTGGTCCCGCCCAGTCTCCACCACCTCCCCACCAGACACAGCACTGGAGGGACATGTCACTTTGAGTGAAAGCCATGTATTTCAAACACATTTAGGGGCACATTCTTTTCAAACTAGAAACCCCACTAAGTAAAACAGGTTCGCCCATCCATTTAAACCTGTGCAACATTTTGGGTGCCTCCTTAGAGCATTTAAAACCCCTGTTTTAGATAAGCCCCCTCTCCAAATCATTAGAAACCTTCCAGCGAGCTAGCGGCCTCTACCTGAATGCACATGCAAAGATTTCACATGACCGACCTCTATCCATTGCGATAAACAGTCCACAAAAGTAAGGCAACTGGGGGGAATTACAGAGGGAAAAGCATTTATTAAAGTTACAATAGCATATCAAAGATGTCCATCGTATTTTTGAAAGCTCTTAACCAGGCACGAGTGTGGGAACAGTCACGGTCCCGGCGGCTGCAGGCAAGCACACGGTCGTTACCAAAGGAGGAAGGAAAAACTGAGGGCTGAAGGTCAGCATTCCCTTCAGCACGTGTGCAGGCACGTGGGCCCCGGTGCGTGTCACACCTCACGTGCCCAACACCAAGGAGAAGCAGAGGGAGCTGTGCAAACACCGCGGGGCGGAGCGGGGCACTGCTGGCTGAATTACAGCAGCACACTGATTTTACACACACAGGACAGCCGTGTTCACAAGTACCACACTCAGCTGGACTTAAGCACACGCAAACGGTCCTTGGTAGAGATCTGAAATCCAAGAAACAAAAAAAACACTCCCCAGGCATTTCAAATACTGAGCAATTACACGTGAAGGCAACAGAAGTCACTCGTCTCCCTAACTCCCTTCTCCACCTGACTGTCTCCCTAGAATTCATGGTGTGTATTCCGCACATCACTGTACTTCAAAATCCACTGTCCTTCCCGTGGAATCCTCCTAGGACATGATCCCACTCACCATTTGGGTGTACGTGTCAGTTACTTTATTCCACATCAAGTGAGTCAGGCTGGGGGTGGGGGCGACGAGGGAGGTGAGACACGGTGACCGAGGGAGAGGGGGGTCAGTGGCCAAATGAGTCACCTCCAGGAGGGGTATCGGGGCTGGCGGGGAACCCAGACCACTCAGGACTGGTCACTGAGTGCCGAGCAGGTGGCCAAGGGCACAGAAGCAGAAGGCTGCAGCCCCTGCACCAGGAGACCCAGCAGTAGCGCCATTGCCAACATTCGGGGCGCCTCGAGTGCCCAGGCCTGACTGAAGGGGCAGTCTCACTGGGAAGGCTGCACTAACTTCCCAAGAGTGTCCCTCAAGGTTTCGGGGTGGCCGGAGGCCCACTGCCACGGGGACATTAGCTCTGCGGTCTCCGGGACACAAGCACACACTTCCCACACCTCACACACTGCTCTCAGTACTGTTCTTGGACCACCAGGCAGAGCAAAGTCTGGGATACCCTTCAGCAATGTACAAGCTACTTTACGGCTCCGAGAGGGACTTCTCAGCAAATAAACATACCCTATGGCTAGACTGTGGGTCCCCGAGGCTGGATTTTAGAGACTGGCAAACTTAGAAAGAAATTCTGGGGTTTAACAAAGGGCAGCCAACATTTTATTCTGCAACCAAGAGCATTTTTAAAAATAAAAATATTGCCCTCTATTACCACCTTCCTTACAGAAAAGGACATTTTATCACCTCAACTAGGAAGGCCATAATCTCAGAACAAAAGGCAACCCTTTAAACTGAACAGACTTGACTTCCTGTATTATCTCACACATGTCCTCACACTTCTGGCGTGCACAGAAAGTGCACGCCCTTGGTCCCCGTGACTCCTGCTGCCCTGGGCACGAGGCCACGCGGACCACCAAGGTCACGGCCTGTTCCAGCACCATCATGGCCTTGAAGGCACATCCACTTAGACGAGGGACGACAGTCACAGGACAGCAGTTTACATGTCACAGGGACGGCTCGAGTGCAGAGTGCTTTCACAGACGTTCTCCCGTGTCCTCACAAAAGCCCCGTGGGAAAGGCAGGGCCGGACCCCACCCTGACGAGGAGGGCAGCCCCCACTGCCCACGGGCCCTGCTCGAAGCACGCGGAGCAGAGCGTGCTGACCTCTAAGGCCAGTCTCCCTTTGCTCAGTCCTAACCTGTTTCCTGCTCTCTGCCTCTGCAGGAACCTTCTATTTGAGAATTAATTCATGGAGGAAAGGGGAAGAAACAAAATGACAGCACTTAGGCCTGATAACAGAAATGCAGTCAACAGCAGAAAACTGCTCATTGTCCTTTCTTCTTAAAATTACCTGTTTACCAGTGCATATTGACTAAACTTACCAAATGGTAAAAGAGAGCATCAAAACTAAGCATCGCGGCCTTAAAGCCTTTCTGTGACAAGGCAGGGCATAAATAAGCAGATATGCCAATAACGTAAGTCACGTGAGAAGGCACAGATATGTAGGACATTGATGGGCTGTGGAAACATACTCAAAAAACCCCACCCAGGATGCCAAAGCTGAATTCTCAGAGGTATCAACGCCGCCCCCACTGCATGCCAACCCCCGCCCACCTGTGCACAGGAGCCAAGGCCCAGAGCACAGGACTCTGTTCAGCAGCTGGCAGGCACCCCAGCAGTGGCAACAGTCAGGACACTCCTGGGAGCCGGCCGGGGGGACACGCGGGTTCCTTCCCACTGGCCCATCATGCCCCTCCCTGGGAGTGCTCTGGGGCGGCAGCCTCACCAGGTACCACATTTCCTTGCCATGTGAGATGTCGGCAGCCTGCAGCTGAGAAACGTGATTTTTATAAAGTGCTCTGATGGAGAGAGTTACTCCTTCCTATTCTGAACCCCATCTCTGCAACAAAAGGAAAAGGGAGCCACAGTGAAGTCACTCAGAACAAGAACGGCCCTAAGCAGCTACCTATTCTATTTTCAGATTCATGTTTGGCAGCTATGAAATTTCAAACTAGAGGCTGAACCTCAAAGTCGCTGGGATTCTGAAAAACAATCCCTATGGCTGGCTGGACAAGGAGAAAGCCAACCTGTCTCTGCTAAGGGAGAGCTGAGGCCCGGCGCCTGCAGACCAGCCCCGAGCACAGCATGCTCTGGGGATGCAGCAAGGGGCCCTAGTCCCCGGCTCACCCTCTCGCCAGTCCCACCACCTCCCGGCCAGCCCTGGGCAAAGCCCCACAGTGAGGATGAGCTCAGGCCGTTCCCTCCAGAGAGATCCTGGAAAGACGGTTCCATCCCCAGGAAACAAGCCCTGCTTCGCTGGGCGGAGGAGCCTGACGGCTGCTCTGCTGGACCAGCCCGGTGCCCTCGCCTCTGCGCCGCCCAGGGCAGCCCTGACAGGGCTGGGCCCCCTGCACCGCCAGCGTTCCCAGATGCTGCTCTCCACAAAGTCTGAGAAGAGAGCCGCTCTCCTACCCAGGCCTGGGCTGGGGAGGGTCTGTCCTTAACAGGCTCCTGCAGAAAATACCCAGCAGGGCACACCCAAAGCGTCCTACGAGTCTACAGCTTGGCTCCCCTGAAAGGAACCGAAGCCAAAGGGCAGCAGAAGAGGTACAGGAATTACGGTGAACTAACCACCACTCCCCACCCTCCTCTCCCAGCCCGACCAAGGTGACAAGCCACCACTTACACACCTCCAGGGACCCGAAGCCCCTCCAGCGGCCCAGTCCACCTATGAGTGGCTCGATCCTTCCCTACATCCAGGGAAAGCCCTGACTCCCTGCAGCTCCTGCCCCAGCCACAGCCCTCCTCCTCACTGTGGGTCTGGTCCCACCACGAGTGCCACAGGGAACACACTGAACCCTCTCTGGGCTGAAGCCCCTGCAGCACTGGCTCTGGCTGCAATGGCACACATCGGCCAGCCCCAACTCCCCTCCTAGTGTGGGGAGCCCCTCCCGACCGCCTCAGGGCCGCACCCCAGGCTCCCCGTTCTCCAACAACACGCAGCCCCACCCTGGGCCTCAGAAGACGTCCCACGCCCGCACCGCGGCCTCCAGCAGCTGCATCTTCCCCTGAATTACCAGTGACTCTTCTCTCCTCGGATCTCAAACGTGCATATACCGGGCAGCCTGGCTTTCCAGCACAAGTCCACACGACACATGAGGTGGGGTTTAGAATGCCATCCTGAAGTCACAGAAGATGGTGACCAGACACTGCCTGTCTGGTCGGCAAAGACACATAATGATGTTAATAAATAAACCCATATCATTAGTACAACTGTTACAAATTAGATGTCTCTCACTGAAGAAAATTTAAACATAGATTTGTAATCTGCCCATTTCTAAACACTTCTAAAGGTCAGAATCACCATGGATCCAACACAACGATCCTGAGGCCTCAAACCCCAAACGCGGTTTCCCTGGAAAAAGGAGCTCTAAAGAGGCAGCTGCTGGCCCACCTGCAGACACAGCCCACACCTGGCTGCACAGCCCGGGGTGGGAGTGAGCCCTGCCCACAGCCCGGGTTGCCAGAGCTCAATTCTCTCACTCACCACCGCCCCCAGCAGGCCCAGGGAAGACTTCTGACCTCACTGCTATCCCCTTTCTTAGGTTCCAGGACCAGCTATCCAGACATCAGGTCCAAAAGAGTGAAGAGCAATCAACCAAACACCAGATGTTTTGTCCACCGGACACCAAGTGACTGAGAGCTTAGAACCATCCAGAAGAGGGCTCACTCTTCCCCTGTCTAGGACGTGCAGGGACTGGTTAGAGCTGGCAGTGAATGCTGACGGACGGTCCTTGGTCCAAAGGTAGGCAGTCAATTACTGGCTAGTTCAGTGTGGGCCTCCTAAAACCAACCACCTGTCTGGAAGCTCCGCAAAGTGAAATGGCAGAGGACTCATGAGACCCGCTGGCGTGCTGCTAGGCACAGCCAGGAGTCAGAACAGGTGCAGCGCTGCCGAACTCTGAGCATTACCTAAAGAGACTGTGAAGAAACGCAGGCCTCGACTTTGGGATAATAAGGCCAACCCACGTGGGTAGGAAACCATCCCTGAATGAAGACAATTTGACATTCCCACCACAAGGAGAGTAACTGAAGTGGCGAGGAAAGCCTGTGTGTACGATAAAAGTCAAATGTCTACCCCAGGAGCAGGGGGGACAGACTAGCAAGTTCACAAGCTGCATCTCTGTACTGTACTTTCATACCAAACTCCCTTTAATCCAACCATTAAACTGAGAGGCAAACACAGAAGCACAGTTCTGGAAAGTGCTAGTTCTCCCCGCTAGGCTATCAGCAGGCCTCCAACCTCAGCCCGAACTTGCCCTCGTTTCAAGGCCCATTTCTTTAATGCTCAACGGCGCAAATCCAAAACACAGATACTGAGGAAGAACAAAATTAAGTTTTGTATGAGCCTCTCCGCTGGTACTGACCCAAGGACCATCCGAAGCCCCAAGCACCTGAGATGGGATTACAGTCCACAAGAACAAGGCTGATTCTGCTTTACCAAAGCCGAACGGGACTTAGCCAGCAGCCCAGGATGCGGCTCCCGGGGGCACGAGTCGGAGTCCATGCTCTCCGCAGCGGCGCCCTCCTCCTCACCGCCGCCCCTGCGCTCTACTCCTCTACTCGTAGAGCAGAAACCTCTTGACAGCGTCCGGCAGAGGCAGTGAGGGGATCAGGTGGAGCCGGTACTTGCCGAGCGCTCTTCTCACGGCCACACGGCACAGACTCAACAAGGTCCTGGGGACACCTGGAAGCCGTGGGAGGAAAGAGAGAGACAGAGGAAGGTGGTTAACTGAGTTCCTCTCCCGACTGGAAGGACCGAAGCTGGCTCTGACGACAGGTGGCCCTGCACTGCTGCTCGCTGCCAACTTCCCCACGTTAGAGGAGAGCGGGCTCTGGTAGGAGAGGCCTCAGCGGCACCCCCGGCTGCAGGAAGGCTGAGATCTTCATTTTCTGGGGCATCTGCTCACTGTAACAGCACGTCCTTGACTATGTTTAATTCCCTTGACAGGGAGATAAGAGCTGACCCCGACAAGTGTGAAACACAGACCCTTACGCTCTGTCAGCCTCTGCTCTTGGTAATCCCAGAAGCTCCAAGAGGGTCTGGGGAGACGGGCCGAGCAATACATGAGAGGGCCGGCTGACAATTTTGCTCTGGGTCAAAAAAGCCCAGCCACAACTCGCCTCGTGCAAAAGGCACGGACACAGGCAGCTTACCTCCACCTGCATGGCTCCACTGACACTAACCAGCTCTTCTGGGAAAGCTCAGCAGGGGCAAGTCTACTGATGGGGTTACGGAAATCCAGGAACAAGAACACAACAAACAGAAGTTCTGCAAGAGGTAAGGGACTGGGGAAAAGGCTGGCACTCAGATGCCCTCAGACCCAGGTGGTGCTGGGGCCGGGTGAGGGCAGGTCACAGAGAGGGCCCACGGTTGGCTTCTGAATCCCGGAGAGAGGACGACAACAAGACCAAGGCATGGATCACCGCAAAGCCCCCGCCATCAATTTCATTCACTTCCAGAATCGTTCTTTATAAATAAACAAGCTGTAGGCTTTATTCTAACAAAAATGAGACTTAGCACACAATCCAAAATGACGGTATTTGAGTGGAACTGAAGAAATGGAAGTGAGGAGCCCTCGAGAAGGAAGGGCTTGCGATTTGTTGTAAAGCCAATACTTAAAAGCCATAAATATACGAGTGAAGGAATTTGGGATTACAAAGCAGAGCTAAGGGGTAAAGAGAATACAATTCTAGGAACTTTGAGAACATGTACTTTTATATATTTCTCGGCATCAACTCTTAGTGTCTAGGAATTTAAAAGGAGAAGACTAATGTGGAAGACCATTCTAGAACATTCTTAGTCCTAACTGAAGGTTTTGACCAAGCACTTAGCTGGAGACTTGTTTTCTTAACTGTTACAACGTGGTTCGTTCAACTGCCCTGAAGAGACCATCAGTCAGAGCTCAACTAAGGGCACTTACTTCTGGCCTCTTTGAAGACCTGCAGTGCCTCAGGGTCCACCTTCCTTCTGCCTCTCGACTCTGGGCCCAAGGACTCCCACTTCACCAGGTTCAGGTTGGCTCCGAACTCCACGAGCAGGCTAACGAAGGCCGCCTCGCAGCCGTGACGCAGGACCGCATCCATGACACACCCGGGGGAGCCCCTGCAGAAGCCCTGAGTGTTGACAGGCCCGTTGCAGTTGAAGTCAGGGTTTGCCCCAGCCTGGAGGAGCAGCTTGAAGCACTGGAGGTTGTGGTAGGCCGCGCTGATGTACAAGGGGCAGACCACCAAGGAGGTGAGGCGCCGGGAGAAGGGGGGCTGGATGTCAGGAGTCAGGTGGTGGTTGACATCGACATCGGCCCCATACCTGCGGGGAGACACGGACAGTCAGGCCTTGCCGGAGGCTAACCGCGGGCAACAGATCCCTGCAGCACCCTAAGGGGACAGGTCTGAACTCCACGGAAGCTTGGAATGTGCTCACAACAAGTAACGCATCGGGGATTTCTTGCAAACCTTTGAAGATCCGATAATTCCACGGGTATTTCAACCATTTCAGAGCAAAGAAAAAGAAGGAAAACTTCCAAATTCATCTAATGAAATTGGCAAAACAATAATCCCCAAACCAGAATGAGGCCACATCGTAAAGAAAAACCACCGAGTAATTACACTTATGAGTATTAACTTAACAACCTTCAATAAAATGTTAGCAAAGAGAATCCCAAAACATTAGGAAAGCACTATACAGTGACCTCACGGGGGTGCTCCAAGGACGCAAGGGTAGTGTCTGTATTAGAAACTATTAACATAATCCATCATATTCATAGAACTAAGGGGAAAATCCATGATTATCTCTACGGATGCAAAAAAGGCCTAGGACAAAACTCAACACTCATGCGTATTGTAAAATATTTAATAAAACAGAAAGTGATGGGTATTTCCTTAACATGATAAAAAATACTTCCTCAACCCGGAAGTTAGGAGCTCACCTGCGAGGGGGGAAAGGCTGGCAACTCCGCCAGGAGCAAGACACACTCTCCCACTCGCAGGCCCACTACTTTAAAGGCATTTTTTTTCTTTCTAAAGTATTAGTGCAAATAGACAAGAGAAAGCGATTAGCTGATTTAGACTGGAGAGGAAGAGGTGAAACCTTCCCTATTTTCAGAGCACATGACTGTGTCTGGAAAGCCCCAAATAGTTAATGAAAACACAATTAACAAGCAAGCAATTTACTGAAGCAGCAATTTGCGAAACCAACAGCCGACATGCACACGAACGGAAACAAGCTCAAAAACAAAATGAAAAGGCCTCTCTGACAGCAAAGTAAACGTCAGAGTGAGGTGTCTGAGCATAAGCTTAACAGCAACTGTGAACAGCTGCGCCAGGAGAAGCTTCAAGCCCCACTTCCAGCCACAGAAGCAGCGACACAGAAAGACACAGCACAGGCTTGGCCGTGAAGACTCAGCATCCCTGAGATGCCACTTTCCCCAAGCTTATTACATAAACGAAAAACTCCCTAAAACTAGGTGAGTTGCTTATAAATACAAGTAAGCAAAAATACTGTGGAGCTACCACGAGTCGATTATGAAGTGCATTCGTAGACCAGACAGGAAAATACGTAAAAGCAAAAATTTTTAACATGGAAATTAAAGAAAACCTTGGCACAGCAGGAAAAAAACAGCCTAAGTAAAGTAAAACAGTAAGTGAAAAATTGAGGGAAATTTTACGTAGGGTTAATATCCTTAACACATAAAGATCTCCTAAAAGGAAAAGGTCAGTAGCCCTACAGACAAGTGAGCCAGGGATGGATACAGACACAGGCAAGGGGCTCTTAACCACATGGAAGGAGGCTCAGCCTCACTCATAACAGAAATGCAAATTAAAACTGCAGGGAGATACCACTTCTCACCTATCAGATTGGCAAAAATCCAAAAGCTTACTGACCAGGCTTTAAAGAAAGAGGAAGTCTTATTCATTTCTGGGGGCCATGCAACATGGAGCAATCCCCGCAGAGGGAAATCTGGCGACAGCATTTAGCTCTGACTCATCAGTCACACTTCTTGGAATCTACTCCCAAGACACACCTGCAAAACTCTGAAAAGATGCATATGCAAGGCAATTCATTAAAACATTTTCGTAACAGCTGAAGGCAGGAGACAACCCCCAGGTTCATCAAGAGGGGACTGGCTGAATGAACTGTGGTCCATCCACATGAGGGTGCCCGGTACCACTGAGAAGGAATGGGCGCAGTGCTAGCAGTGCTCTGGCGTGACCTCCAGGACACACCGTTTAAGTGAGAAAAGCAGGACCATGAGCATGAAGTACGCTACTGTTTCTCCTGGGGAGGAGGCTGCAACATGAATGTGTACATGACACACACCTAGATACATACACAGATCTGCTTACTTTCTAACAACGGGAGCATAAACCACAGAACTTTTTAAGTGGTTATCTATAGGGCAGGGACGAGCAGTCAAGGACAGAAGCAAGACTTCTTTTTATATACTTTGTTTTATAGATTGGGCTTCGGAACCATGTAAATATACATTGTAAAAATTAAATAAACAGCAATCCCTAAAAAGTGAAAGGAAAGAACAGTGCAACCCAGCTGTGTGTCTAGCTGGTGCCATCGTGCTCTGCCGGCCAGGATGGCTCTTCTTTTCAGGCAGACTGAACAGAACCTCCAGAGTAGCCAGACCACTCCCTGCATCAGAGTCATCTAGAAAGACTAAGACAGGAAGCACAGCAGGGCAGCTCCATGCAGCCCCCTGGGGTGGGGGCACTCCCCTGGGCCCCACAGCTAACCTCCACAGTGGTCCCGGACTGCTCGCCTTCTGACTCCCAGAGACAGCCCAGGAGTGAGGCTGACTCTCACACGGGGCGGGTGCAGGAGCCGCCTGACCTGGAAGCCTCATTCTCCACCAGAGCCAATCACTAAATGACAACCTGCAGGGTCCCTCAAGGGACCTGCTCTTGTCACTGCCCTCAGGGACGCCCAAATATATGGCTTTCTATCAGGCATTTAGAGTTCTCCCAGGCCAAGCACACACTACTCATTGGGTCATCTGACTCTAAGCAGGGCCCCTGACCACAGCAGGGAGGGCAGCCTGGCCCAGGGTATCCGAGTCCTGGCCAAAAGAGGATGCCTGCGAAGGACGTCGCCTGCACAGGGGCGGCAGCATAGGAGGCTGCTTACACACGGGGGGTTGGCAAAATAAATACATTAAAAGTAAGGGGAACCAGGTCTCTCAATGTCGGAAAAGAATAATAAATTAGGAAAGAGAGAAAATAGGATGAACCCTGTGGTGTTGGACTGGATTAGAGGCATCGGGGTGAACTCTTCAACTGTCAACGTACAACTGATACAGAAACGTAGCCAGCAACATGTGTATGCGGCCTTAGCTCCGCCCAACAGCTGGGCCTGAGAACAGTGACGTCTCATAAGCTATAAGCACCCCTCATGTCCAGATCTGGGTCTTCAAACACCATTTCCCATGGAAAGTCACTGGAGAAATGACTAATTCCAGGGCTGAATCAGGTAAAGTACATATGAGTCTAGAATATCTTGATAAAGGAACCATTCAGAGATTGATGGGGACGGGCCAAACGGCACAGAGCTGGCGTGATGGGGCTCCCTCTAGCCAAATCTCAGATAGTTTGAGCATCAAAATAAGTAACAATAATAATGGATTGTAACTCCACAGGAAACTATGAGTCTAACACACATAAATGAATAAATTAAAATCCTCATGAGGAATAGGATATATACATGGTTGCAAAGTACCTATCCACCAAATATTTATTAATCACAGAGGGAAAAAGAAGAGCTTTGTAAGAGAGAAACCTAGCAGACACCATCTTAATCAAAAGATCAGAGTGAACAGCAACAGCACTGGGACCAACTGAAACCCTGTGCAGCCTGATAGGCTGTAACGAGAACAGCACAGCCTCACTCCTGTGAGGCCAAGGCCCAAGGTGCGTTACCCGACTCCAGTCTAAGTAAACATCAGACAGCCGGCACCTGTTTACTTGAGCGCCCACTGCCCTACAATCTGCAGTGCCTCACAAATCGTGTCATCACATACTTCATCTGGATTAGGAAATGACAATGCGTAGCAAGTGATGATGGGGCCTGACATGCAGGCGTCCAGGCAGAGGGAAGAGCACTGTTTTCCAGGCCTTAATAAAAATGGCTGGCCAACACTCACAGCCAGCAATCACGTTTTATCACCTGTCTCTTCAGCACTACTCCAAGTACCCAAAGGAACCTCCCCCTAGAACTGACACCCTGCCTCCCAGCAGCACAGACCTGAAGAAGAGGAAGGACGGGCACACCAACCAGGGAGCTCACACAACAACCTGCTTCCCCGCTGATGCCACACAGCATCACCAGACACTGCAGATACAAGTACCACCCATTCTCCAAGATACTCCAGGAGTGACGAGAGGAACATTCTAAAACTCATACCAAACCAAGCAGAAACTAGTATTTCACTTCATACACTCAACCAATTAAAAGAACTAGATTTCAAGCAGTCATTTTTTTTTCCCTCTCTATTCTTAGCAATGCGTCTTCCAAAATGTTTGTAATTTTGGGCAGAATGACAATCTGGTATTAGCTGAGCTGTGGGAAAGACAGCCCTTCAACCACTCATAAAAATATACTGGATGGGGTCCAGTTAATTTTAATCCTGAATATTTTCCAAAATTCCCCTACTGCTTTTAACATCACTGGCAAGGAACCACTGGGACAACTCCATAAATCAGTATAACTTTTGCACATACAGAAATATCACTCCTCACTGTTTAAAAAAAAATCAGCAATATATATCGAGGGAAATCAGAAGTAACAAAGTGGAGGTTACCTGCAGAGGAACAGCAAATCACAACAAAGCAGAGCCCTGCCTACAGGGGTCAATGACTTAGGGAAGGCAAGAGTTGAGTTTAGATTATATTTAGATTATATTATCTGTTCAGTAATTTAACCCTATTTTCCAAAAGTCAATTATCTGGTAATTTAGAATACAGAAAACCTTTCAATAGAATAATATATGTTCTTGGTACCTCATTGTAAAAGTAATGTCCTGTGCTCCAGCGGGAGAACAAGAAGCCTCACTAATGTTTTCTCAAGAAGGGCATCTGTATGTGTACTTCTGAAAGTCAAGCCTGCAGTTAATTCAAAGCAGTTGTGCATCATGAATTGACTGAAATGCCCAATGGGATTTCTGGACCAAGGTGAAATTTCATGGATTGACCCTACTGAAAACCATTTCCAAACTGATGACGTACAATCTCCAAGACGCAAAGATACAAGACTGAGGTGGCATAGATTATCAGGCTAAAAACCCTTAAAAAGAAGGCGAAAAAAGCATCACATCTTTATCACCCTCTAATAAAACCACCATATTAACCTTCGTCTAGCTTTCCAACAGCCAAGTCCATAGCCATTCCATAAAACCTTTTGATGTAATAAATTTATCCTCAGCACCTAATTTAAAATCTATGTTCTGCACTGGGCAGGGGGAAATGCCAGGTCCGGGCTTGTCAGACCACTCAACGGCTATGATCCTTCCCAGCACTGACAATCAGCTACCTAAACTGCACTCGGTCCAACCGCAGAACCGACTGCCTCCAGAGAGGAAGGGAAGGAAAAAGCATCCTTGGTAGAACACAGTCACTGCAGACACAGGAATGAAAATGCAACCTGGTTCAAATTTTTTAAAAGGTAACCGTTAGGACCATTAAAATAAGACGATAAACCATCTAAAATAATAAAAAGAGAAAGCAAAGAAAACGCAGATCATAGAACAAGACAAAAAATAAAGGTACAGTCAAGAAACAAAGATAACAAAAATAGATCTGACATCAGCTATGGCGATGAAGCTAACTGTACTAAAAAAACTCCCAGACAGTCAAACAGTAAAAGTGAACACACAAAGAATTACGTAGACCTGTTAAGATTAAAACTAAACGTTACAGAATGCTGCATCAAAGAGCCCTCAGTGAAACCAATGGTTCCCTTTTGTTTGGATAAAGGGCATAATCCCCAAGCAAGAACTTCTATGAGCCAAATTAGCATCAAAACGTGTTAAGCAAAATTATTAGAAATACAAGGGGAAACTGATAAATCACAGCAGAGACTGGAGACTTATAGATTTCTCTGAATTTTGGGCAGATCCAATGGTTAAAAATGTAAAAAACAAGAGAGGGAATCTGCAAAACGTTAAGTGAGGTTTGTAATATGCAAACAAAACACCCATGGTCATGTACTTTGTTACAAGCACCCACAACAATGTAGTCTGACATTTTAAAAAAGATTTTTTTTTAATCAAAGGAACTTCAACATGGAAATTATACGGTTCGTATTATCTGAGCACAATACAATAAAATTAGAAGGTCACAGGAGTTGTTATCAAAACTGTTTCCTCCATAACTGTAGGAGGAAATCAATTTCAATCATACCTATTTAAAAATGAGGAAAAAGCTCAGCAGACATAGCCAAAGCTATGGGCACAGAAATCAGCAACCTTGAAAGTTTACATTACCAATCAAGAAAAAAATGAGTAAGCGTTCAACTCAAAAAGTTGGGGGGGAGGTAAAATTGAGAAAAACGGGAAAAAATCAAGATGAAAATAAAAATTCTTCAGTAAGCAGAAAAATAAGAGAACTGATAAAGCTAAGCAGCAGCTCTTTGAAAAGACTAAGAAAACAGACAAATCCTCTAACAAGTCTAACTGGAGAGACAGAGGGAAAAGCAAATAGAGAGCGTAAGGAATAAGAACAGGGCTGGGGAACCGGCAAACCTGGCACGTTCCCGGTGGTGGCCCTCTCAGGGCGATGGTGGCCAGCCTGTGCAGTACTGACCTGATGAGGGCCTTCAGGATGTCCGCCCTGCCCACGCGAGAGGCGTGGTACACAGGGGTGCTGCGATGGTGCCGGCTTCCATTGGGGTCGGCACCAGCCTCGAGGAGGATCTGGGCACTCTCCAGGTGCCCATTCACCACAGCTACGTACAGAGCCGTCTGTCCCTTCACGTCCACCAGATCCACCTCGGCCCCCTTCCGGATCAGGAAGTCCACGCAGTTCCCGTGGCCTGCAGTGGCTGCGATGCGCAGGGGTGTGCAGGGGAGCCAGCCACAGCACCAGACAGACTTCTCGTTGATGCGGCTAGGAGAGAACACCGGGGAGCCAGGCTGTGGGGGGTGCCGGGGACCCACCAGCTGCTCTGCCTCCCCCCACGTGGGGGCTCTGAAGCACAGAGTCGGAGGGCAACCTCTGCTTTACTAACGCATCCAATGTGCTCTGCTTCCTGAACTGCTTGCACATACTTACCCTGCTGGACCCATGCCTGCCGCAAGCAAGAGATAAAGTGAGAGCCCCGCGCTACAGATGAGGAAACTCGAGGCACAGTTAGACTGCTGAGCACTAGGGCTAAGATCTCGAACTGCCTGAAATACACAATGGGTCCCAGTTCCTCCTTCAGCTGTGAACTTGCTTCCACTGGCAAGGAGGCCAAGGAACGCTCCAAGGACTCCACACCAAAGAAACAGAGCAACAGAAAAATATTAAGAAACCAGAGATTTACTGAACCCAAGGATAAGAAGAAAAAAAGTACCTGAAACAGCTATAGGAAAATACATGGTCTAAGACCTAGCTGAGCTCTACTTTGTTCTACTGTTATAACTGAAAACTTAAGGTTTCCTTTAAACTTGAGTCATTCATATTAAATATTCACACACAGGCAGAAGACCTAAACAAGCAATTCTCCCATGAAGACATACGAATGACAAATACGCACATGAAAAAATGCTCAGTATCACTATTTATCAGAGAAACACAAATCAAAACTACAGTGAGGTATCACCTCATACCAGTCAGAATGGCCATTATTCAAAAGTCCACAAACGACAAATGCTGGAGAGGCTGTGGAGAAAAGGGAACCCTTCTACACTGCTGGTGG